GAAGGGCGCCCTGTACGTTGGGCACGAAGTATAGGAAACTTGCATGGTTAAAAAGAAGGGCGCCGCCTACGTTGGGCACGACTTCCGCCTCATTTTTACAATGCGAGAACTCTATCTTGTATTTCTAGTATCTTTGACTTACACATATACGATGTTACCAAGTTGTTACACGCCCCTCCATTTAGGCATGGAGAACTATTATATGGATTTGTAGAAACTATTCGACTGAAGCAAAGTAAAATAAACCAAAAAAAAAAAAACATTGAAAATGTTTGTAAATCATGTTCTAGAAATATTGGTGTTCCCAAAAAAGTCAAAACATTTTTACCAAAGGCTTCACTCTATCAACTGTACTGCTCATTGGTTTTACCGTATACTATGGTTTGCTACTATGGGGAAATGCTAGTAAAGTGTATATCAACAAACTGTTTCTATTACAAAACATGCCTTAAGAACAATATCACACAGTTCGTATATGTGTCCAACTAAACCATTATTTCTTAAATATAATGTTTTAAATATCTTTGACATGTATACAAGTGAATTTGCTACTTTTATGTACAAATATGAGCACGACATGTTACCAGCTTCACTTAAACATTTTTTTACTACCCATTGTGAAAACCATTTATAATACCAGAAACAAAGATGATTTCTTAATTCCAGTTGAAATGGTTAAATCTGTGTTGTTGTCAGGTCCAAAAGTATGGAATGATCTGCCTAAAAATGCCAAATGTGCTCATACTATTTTAATATGCATATAATAAAAGTATGACAATGTGCATATATTAGTTCACTTTAACCATAATTCAATACCTTTTCCCTGTATTGTATGGGTTCGTTCTCGAATATGCTTAAATTTTTAATGTAAAGGTGGTGCAATATTTTACAAGCAATTTGCTTTCATTTGTATCTCCTCAATCTATTTTTTTTTTTCATTATTTTTGTTGATGTGTATTTTTGATGGTTAATATACAGGGTATGTATTGCATCATATAGTGTATAACTACATAATGCACAATCCATTAGAACATTATTAAAAAACCACCATCTGCATCTTGAAGAAATATCAATGATTTTACTATTACTTGTACATTAAAGCCATCCATACAATAAACCCATACCAAAATGAACATACTAACTACTGTATATCATACTAACACGCCTACTCTATCACACCACCACAAATCATACACCATGCACACACAAACATTAAATAAAAAGTCAACAAACAATTTAATACATCAGGCCAAAAAAAAAGATATATTTTTTACAAAAAAAAAAAGAGCGACCCTAGATTTTCAAGTATTTGGGGTCAGTCAGGCTTGGGAAAAGGTTTATATTTTTTTACATTATTAAGCACATTATTTTTCAAATTACTTGTTGTTATTTACCTGGACATGTTGCTTCACACAATGCACTGCTTTCAAAGTTGTTGGCATTTGCACCACAATAATAAGCAAATGGAGTACAACCACTTGTACTGTCAGCATAGTAATAACGCAAAGCTACTTGTGCCCCTGGGCATGTCGCAGCCGTTCCAGCAGCTAAAGGTAAGGAACACACATCTGGAAAACAATAATAATTAAAACATAAATTTGTCTATATTTACACTGAATTTTCATTAGGTTTTAAACTACTTTAATTATTTATTCATTTCAAATAGATGAATTTTGGCCATAAGTATAACAGAGGGAACTGAATTTCCGAATTCAGACTTATATTGGTCCTTACAAATTACAGGTGCAATTCCTCAGTAAAATATGCTATAAACAAGAGTTTCAAGTTATTCGTACTAAAAATGTTAAATATTTTTAGATATACTGAAATACAATTCATATAATAAAAGATTTGCCCATTAAAAGATCATAATACACACACTATGTGCAATATGATGAATGTGGGTAAATGAAGGAATGAATGAATGGGTGAGCAGTTGAATGAGTGAATGCATGAATAAGTGAATGAGTTAATAAATGAATGAATGAATGAATGAATGAATGAACGAACGAATGAATGAATGAGTGAATGAATCAATGAATGAATGAATCAATCAATCAAGTAATCAATCAATCAATCAATGGATGGATGGATGTATAAATTGATGGAAGATTGTGTGGATGAATGATTGGATAGATGAATGAAATAGACAGACAGATGCATAACTGACAGACTGAATGTGTAGATTGATAAATGATTGTGGATGATTGATGAATGATTGTGTGATTGAATGAAGGAATTGATGGATGAGTGAATAGATAAATAGGTGACTGACTGACTGACTGACTGACTAAATGAATGATTGGACAGATTAATGAATGATTGTGTGGATGAATTAATGAATGGATGGATGGATTGATTAATGGATGTATGGATGTATAGAAAGATGGATGGATGGATGCCTGACTGACTGACTGGATAGATTAGTAACAGATTGTGAGGGTGTATGATTGTATGGACGAATGAATGGAGACTTGGATGGATGACTGAATTTGATAAAATGTTGGCTATTCTGTCTTTTGTGTTAATGTTTGGTTTGTCATCCAATTTACAAATTGATAAAACATCGCTATGCGTTGGCAGTGTCTTTGTCAGCGCGCTGCTTGTTGAATAGTGTTTGTGTTTCAAATATACACAGAAATATTTGTTTTGGTCTTGTCAAATTAGAAATGTTACTATATTGTGTCACTCATTCACATCCTAGGCTCCTTATTTGTCTACTCTTGAGGAGTACTTACGTTTTAGTGCCTAGTAAATTAATGGTCAGTATGAGATCAAAACGTGACAAAGGTGCTAGCAACCAATGTCAGAATCAACATGGTCAGATGAACACGGAAATCAACAAATCATGCAAATACAATTGTAACGATGCTTTAGGTTAACTATTTTCTTTAATAAGTATGTTTCGCAAATATCATGCTGTTGTTATGTGACAATACAGTACTTCAATGCTCAGAACCACTACTTGGGGAAAAAAGTGTCCCTTTAACAGGGGTGTCCCCTGAGTGGAATTGTACTATTAATAGGGGGTTTGGTATGTTTTCATACAACGATGAATTACACTCTTTATAATTTTATTTCTATTCAACAAAAAATCAGTTACATTTGAATTAGAATTTATAGCAATAATTTTCAATGCAAAATTCATTTATAATATCAATCAGCAGTAATTTCATTAAAACTATAATAGTTGTATTATGTTCCTAATATTATTTTATGATGCGATGTTGATGACCACATTTTTTTTTTTTAAATATTGGATGCATGTAGCATGCATATAGCAACGACTCAAAAATAAGAATGTGTGTTCTGACATTGATTAGAATCCCATGAAAGTACACAAAAAAAGAAATCCCATGGTTAAGGGTTAAATTTGACTCAATGCACTGCTTTCAAAGTTGTTGGCATTAGCACCACAATAATAAGCAAATGGAGTACTGTACAACCACTTGTACTGCCAGCATAGTAATAACGCAAAACTGCTTGTGCCCCCGGGCATGTCGCAGACGTCCCAGCAGCTAAAGGTAAGGAACATACATCTGGAAAACAATAATTAAAACATAAACTTGTCTTTATTTACATTGAATTTTCATTAGGTTTTAAACTACTTTAATAATTTATTCATTTCAAGTAGATGAGTTTTGGCCATAAGTATAACATAGGGAACCCAGTATGAACTGAATTTCCGAATTTAGATTTATATTGGTCCTTACAAAAATTATTACAGGCACAATTCCTCAGTAAAAATATACTATAAGCAAGAGTTACAAGTTATTCATACTAAAAATGTTAAATACTTTTAGATTTACTGAAATACAATTCATATAATAAAAGAGTTGCCCATTAAAATATCATAAATACACATACTATGTGCAATATGAAGAATGTGGAAATAGAATGAAAGAATGAATGCATGGGAAATGAAAGAATGAATGAATGGGTGAGCAGTTAAATGAGTGAATGCATGAATGAGTGAATGAGTTTATGAATGAATGAACGAATGAATGAACGAACGAACAAACCAACGAATGAACGAATGAATGGGTGGGTGAATGAGTGAATGAATGAATGATTGGATAAATTGATGAATGATTGTATGGATGAATGAAATGGAGACAGATGGATTGTATAAATTAGAGAATTCAGTAGCATGGGGAAGGGTGGGGGATAAAAAAATTTAAACCCAGGTTTTCCTATCCCTCACCAGAAGTGTTCTGAGCACAAAAAATTCCAATCATGTAAGTACATAGATAAAAACAACATACAAGCACCAGAAATAACCCGTCGAGTACAGTAGTCTAATACCCCCTAAAAGAGCCCAAAAGTACCTCAGGTAGTGGCGGATTCAAGGGGAGGGGGGTGCTATCAAAATTTGAACAAAATTGAGAAATATTGAGTCTAAGAGTGCCATTTCCGGCTATCTAGAGGTGCATAATCATAAAATGTAATTACCTCAGCCCAAACCATGATGAAAGTCCCTCTCTGGGCCCTATTCTATTTCAAATTTCTGTATCGATCCCGCCACTATCAGCCCCACCATGTTTGAAATGGCATTGTCAGACTAATTTTCAAATAGTATTTTCAACAATATGACATACCCTAGGCCTAAAGCCTGCTCCACGGATCCGTTGCTGCTATCATATCAGCTCCCTCAATTTAACCCTTATTCCCCGTCAGTCTCCACCTCCCTCCATGTCAATACTCTACACCACAACGTACATTGAGTGAGCTACCATTGCACTCACAAAAAGCCAGACTCTTGTTAACAAACCAGGAGTCTCACGGAAACTGAGACGGCCTTAGTGGCGGATCCGAATACAGATCATTTCGGTCGCGCTTCGTTTCGGTCGCGGTGTGTTTTCAACAAATATATGGAGCGCCATATGGAGTTGCGAAAACGCCAAATTTAATATAACTAGGCCTAATTATCATTGTGAGTTCGTCAATCGGTTTATCATACTTTTTTAAAATTTATGTTTTGTTGTCTTTCTGCTAAGTAACAACATAGGCTACTTAAAAGCAAATAAATTGAATACTATTATTACTAAATTTCAATTAATATTATGGTATTTATAGGTTTATTGCATTCCTAGTACCATTCACTCTTTTATCGGACGGGGTTTTTTTCGTTTTGTTATCGATTCTACGCTTCCTACTACATAACAAATATTTATAAAAATCGAACTTCTTATCAGGAAAAAGCAGCCAACTCGTTATTTAAATTACTGTAACATTAGTTTATTAACAATTATTTTTATATTAGTATTAAAGTTTATTATTGTTCCTATATTACTGTATCACTTGGTGCTATTTTTCTTTTTTTACAGAAACAACGCAGATGTTACAAA